ATAAAAAAAAAAAAAAAAATCTCCAAAAATATTGGCTAGTTATGCTCCCTGGGTATAACACCCAGTCCAAGTTCCTCATCATTTTTCCTTGACCTGCAGATTTTTTTAGGAACCAAAGGGTGGAAAAGCAGTGCTCAGGGAAGGTCTGCAGTGTGAGGATGGAGTGGGCATCCAGGGCTCACCGTTTGTCTCCCCTTGACTGTAACAAGCTTCAGGAGACATCGCAGCGTAGGGGGGAAAAGCTGTGGGTCAAACTTGGACTGGTTTTGGTTTCATTGTTAAAAAAAAGCATTTTTCTATTCCTCCTTTTTGATCTTCAGTAGTCTTTTACGGGAGATTTCTAAGAAATTGAAAAACTTTCATGCCAAGTCTATTTTCAAAAACTGGGGAGATTAAAAAGCATTTTTGTTTTGCTCATGTCAAAATATTTCCCATACTTTTTTTTAAATTTTTCCCTATTTTTCAGTGGAACAAAGAGAGTTAAGCAGGATTTTTCCCTCAGTCTTTTTGTGAAGTGAAGCAAAATGAATATTTTTCTTTTTGAACCAACACAATTTTTTTTTTGCACTGAATTTTTCTCCCAGACTGTCAAAGCTTTACAAAAAGCAGTCATGTGAAAGACATAATTTTGTTTCCTTTGGTATCAAAATACAAAAAAAAAAAAAACACCAAAACCACCTCATTTAGCCATTTTAACTAGCCCTACTGAAAAATCCCTCAAGATGAAGGAAGAGCTGGTTCCTGGGACTCCCAGATGTTGCAGTAGAGGCAGAAAGAAGGGGTAGATTTTCTCCTTTTTGCTGTCACCATTGTTTCTAAATTTTAAGCCATATATGCAAATTTTGATCAATTAGGGCTGACCCGTTGAAGGAGCCCCCCCCATGCACCAGCACTGAGGTCCACCAGAGCTTTCCCCAGCAGGATACCTTTCCATTGGCATCCTTGGGTTGGAGGTCAAAGGCCCGGATGATGTAGACCCTGACGAGACACTCCTGGGGTCCTCTGGCCGGCAGCTGATGGAACTGCCGAGGTGGCATTGGGACTCGTGGGTCATCCGGGAGAGGGTAAATTTTGAACGAACCCTGTAAAGGAGAGACACATTCAGCTGTGCTTGCACACTCACACGTGCAGATGGGTCTCGTGAGCAGGCTTGCAACAACAGTCTGGATGGTGGCATAGAATCACAGAATGGTTTGGGTTGGAAGGGACCTTTAAAGGTTGTCCAGTCCAATCCACTGCCATGAGCAGTGACATCGTCCACTTGATCAGGTTGCTCAGAGCCCCGTCCAACCTGGCCTTGAATGTTGACAGATGCCCAAGGGATGGGGCGTCTACAACTACTACAACGTTTAACTACCCCTATAATTACCACAATGCTGCGGACAGAGCCCAGATCCTGACCCTCTTTTGTCTACTAGACGAGACCATGTTCTGCCAGGCTCTCCATGGTCGAGGAGCCACGAGCAGGGTGCCGAGCTGCCTGTATCATTCATCCCTTGCTTCAACATCGATGCAAACTCTGTTATACCTCTTCACAGAGCCCCTCTAGCCTGTTCATCCTTTACCTCTTCTACTTCATTGTTGAGCACTCAAACTATTCGAGAGGTGCGACTACTAGACCAGACCATGTCCTGCCAGGCTCTTCATGGTCAAGCAGCCGTGAGCAGGGTGCCAAGCTTCAACATCGATGCAAACTCTGTTATACCTCTTCACAGAGCCCCTCTAGCCTGTTCATCCTTTACCTCTTCTACTTCATTGTTGAGCACTCAAACTATTCGAGAGGTGCGAAGGAGCCTTGCTGCCAATGTGAACTAACCCCTCCGCAAAGGTTTAGGCTGAGACTTGCGCTGCAGGGACAGTTTTAAGGGTTCCTGGACAAGGCAGCTGGTCTCTGAGAGAGGGATGGGAGGAAGAGAGAGAAAATGCAAAAATTTGCAAGTGTTTTGTTCACCAGAGCTGATTTCCTACCAGTTAAGTGGCAGGAGTCAGTCTCTGGGTATTGTTTGGGGGAGGACAGTGCTGGGCAAGAGTAGGAATTAAAAGAAAAAAGCTAGAAAAGTGTAATTCCTCTTCTCTTGCAAATAGCTTAAAGGTTAAAAAGAGCAAAGGATGCATCGCTTCTCTGCCCTGGACAGACACCTCCGAAGGGAGAGGTGTGAGTCCCAGTGTGGTGAGACCATCACTGCTCACACATGCTCCCACCACCGCCCCTGAGCAAGAAGACGCTCCACCGCTTACGTCCAGCATTGGTTTCAGATGGGTTTTTGCTCCAGGATGGCAGCACAGCCTAGATTGGGTTTGAAGCATGCAAGGCAATCGCTGCTGGGAATACAGCAGCCAAACCTGGTTGTTCAGACTGGACCCGGTGGTCTACTTTTATGGCCCATTTCTCACTGAAGTCCTACCGAAAAATAGCCAATTGGCATCATCCCACTCAGCAGCAAGACCTTCCACCCAGCAGCGTGTGCTCCTGGGTACAAGTAGAAAGAGAAACCATCACACCTTGAACTCCCCCACGACGGAGGGGTCATCATTCGAGTCCTGCGACCGGCCACGATACAGCTTGAAGGTGTGGCAGAAATCGGAGAGATGCTCGAAGTCCTCCACGTTCTCCAGCTCCGTCTCATAGACCTGGGGAGGGAGAGACGGGGGGCAAGGGCAGGGACTGCTCCCGGGCAGAGGGGGACCAGCAGCATGTCCCCACCGATCTGGGACAAGACTTGACCCAAGCTCCTTGGTCCTGGGGAAACACCACCCACAGGGACAGAGTCCTGGGACCTGTCACCCTTGTTGCCTCCCAGGACAGTGATGTAGAACGGACCTTTGGCAACCCTACGATAAATAACAGCACATCACAGAACACCCAGGCTAAACCAAGGTCTCGCAGAAGGTTTTCCATCAGCCAAAGAGACCTTCCTGCCGGGAACGTTTTCCTTCGGGCCAGACAAGGTCTTCCCATTTTAGTCCTGTTTGGGCCTTTGTGTAAATGTTAGCACTTCTTGTAACAGGGTGCCTAAATCTCCCCCTTCCCTAAGCAATCTCTGATTTTCCTTGTTCCCAAACATTTTTCAGGGTGGCAGTTCTCCATCTCCTCCGCCACTTAGAGAAGTGACAACTTCTTGAAGGCTGCAAAGTGGAAAGTTACCAGAAAGGATTTTGCAAAGAAAATTGAGTTTTCAAAATAGTTACTTTTAAAACAAAAGTACCTGCTCTCTGGGGATATTATCTTCTTTTTTTTTTTTTTAGCCTGGAAGAAAGCAAGCCTCAATGCTCCAAAAAAATCAAAGCTTGTGGAAAAACATCATGCAGAGTGCAGGTCCAATGAGCCAGACCCAGCCGAGGCCACTTACCTTCAGGGTGTCAAAGCCCTTCTCTAAATAGCAGCCACATTTTTCCCTCTCTCCTGTGGAAGCATAGAATTTACTCCACCAGTCAATGAATTCTTCCTCCTGCGGCAAGGGATACCAAAGTTACACATCCCCACGAGCAAACCCCAGCGACCAACGACAGCAGCATCTCCCATAATTGCTGGAGCTGAGCTTCTGCCCTGGGCACCAGCCCCGTGGCACAGCCTGGGTTTGGTGGGTCTCTGTCCTGCAGAGGTGATGAAGTGGTCATGAACCCAACCTGCAGCTCCTCACTCCCTGGTTTCAGGGTGCTTTTGGGATGCTTTCAGCCCAAATCCGGCTGTGGTGGCCACAGCAACACCATGGACCTGGACCTGTCAGCAGAGAGGATGATTCTCCATGGGAGGCTGAGGTAGAGCTCACAAAGAAGAAACTTGCAGCGTTTTCAGGCCATGGGCAGATTTTGGCCATTTGGGTGACGGTCTTCCCAGGACCTCAGTGCAGGCAATGAGACAAATTCACCCTTGCGCTAACATGGTCCTGACAGCCTGAAATTCAGGGAGGATGCGAGGGCAGTTCAGAAATTCAGCCCCTGCTTTAGGCTTTGCCTGGAAGGTTTGGGGGTTTCTGGGCTGGAGATTGCCTTTCTGGTTTGTGTCCTGGCAACATCCAACCTCTCCATCCAAACGATGCACATGGGCAAATGAATAAATGCATAAAATGCATATACTTCCACTAAAAAAAAATGGTCCTCAGGTGCTGCACCTCTCTCAGGAAGAATGTAGGTCTCTTCTCATTGATATTATTCAAAGAAACGGGCAAATCTCGTACAGCCTCAGCCTCACAACATCACGGCCCACAGCCGGGATGCCATTAAGGAGCATTTGCTTCTTCTGCCACGCAAACTGCATTTCAGCTCCAAGGATGCTGTTCCAAGCAGAAAGCCGGCTGCCGGCTTCAGCAAATGTATATATTTTATAAGAGCACCATTTTTGAAATTTATACAAGCAAAGATGAAGGGGCTTTGACTGTGATTCATGAAACATTCCTGAAAAATAATGATGTCTTATTTTAGAAGTCCACAAAATTCCATCACACTGACCTAATGGAGGAATCATAATAGAGGTTTATTGGATTTATATTTTAAGCCAACGGTGCAGGCTTTAAATTGCTGTCTTGAATAGACATTGTTTTTAATAGAAATATTACATAAATTAACTCTGAGGCCTCTGCTGCCTCCCTTTTTTTGAAAAAAAAAAAAAAAAATTTGCCTTTCATCACTTCCCCTGTTTTATTGTTTAAAAAGCTACACTCTGACCATCATGGCTTTATTACGACATTCCACAGGTACTGAGTTACAAAGAAAGCACTTAAACTAATCTGACGACTTACCCATGGTATCTTCTGCAGCCCCAAGACAAAGAATTTGGTTAGATATTTTTGCTGATTTCTACTGATGTTACAAAAAAAAAGGGAAAAGGGAAAAAAAAAGAAAAAAAAGAGGCAAGGGGAGCAGCTGGAATGTTAATAGCGAAGGATATTAATCCATTTGCCTGCAAATGGGAAAGCCAGGGAAAGCAATGGCTCTACCGCGCAAGCGACTGAATTCAGGGATTTCATTTAGCAGCGAGGTGATAGCCAAAACCACCTCCAGTGTTTTATCTTGGAGACGGGACGGGATGGTCCTCAGAGCGAGGGGCTGTGCCCAGAGTCCTGGCATTGATGGCTGAGGGACCTCAAGCATCCTTCACGCCCTCTCCAACTTTTGCATGGACCCCCACAGGGCTGCAACGGGGCACACACCCGCGGGTGAGCATCACTTGTGGATACATTTAACATCGAGTGACTGAAGCCTAAAATTTTAACTTGGAGAGAAGCTTGCTTATACGCGGCAAGTTGCTATCATGGTTATCAGAAGGTTGGCTGCCTCCCCATCCCCATTCCCTCACAATCATCGCTCCCACAGAGCAGGGACCACCTTAATGTGGGCTGGCACCTCCATCCCAAATGCCCTGAGACTGGAGTCAGGGTTGCAAACGTTTTCGTAATCAGTACTGAGATAAAGCCAAGAGCTTTCAAGCTCCAGGATGCCCGGCTTTGGCATTTTCTGCTAAAACAGGACAGTCAACTTTTAACACAGGAGCAGCAGAAGAGGGTCCAGGACCATTTCACCAGGCAAGAACCTGAATGGGACCATTTAGGACCATTTCATCAGTTTTCCAGCAGCTCCATGAGCATCCAGGAAAGGTGCAGCAGGAGAGCCCCTTCCCGGGAGGCATCCCAGAGGAGAGGAATGTCTTATGACCAAAAGCACGGCTGTTCCCAAAACTAAAGAAATTCAGATTTTTAAAAAAAGAAAAAAAGCCTTACAAACCAGAATTTCACCAGCAGGCTGCAACTTCCCGCTTGAAACATTTCTGGGATTATGGCTTGGACACAGCAAAAACACTCAGACACATGCTTAACTTCAATCGAGTGTGCAAATCCCTCTGAAGTCAAGGAGGCTCTTCAGACACAGCCTTAAGGGCGTTCTGGACCAGGCCCTCGGTTTAGCAGAGCCAGCAGCCACCGCTTACTTACCCCCTCCGGATAACAGGGAAGGAGGTTTAAGCTGTGCCTGATCTCCACGCAGGACTTTTACCCAGGGTTATGCACGCTGCTGTTGAGGGCATCAGCATTTTTCCTTCCCCTGGACCCCAAAATGCAGACCTGTGTCATCATCATTTCAAGCTCATTTTGTTTTATCTGGGGGGGATGCACCAGTTTTAACCTCATTTTTGTCAGGAAGGCTGAGCCAGAGTGATTTTTTTTTACCCCATTGCCCAGGGTTTCCCATGACTGCAAACTCATCCCATCGGATGCGTTCCCAGATGGGGATAGAGGAGTCCGGGCTTAGCCAGCACAACCCAGTTTTCACATAACGCGTTGAAATGGTCGTTGCACTCTGGAGCAAAAGGAGGTGTGGAAACCTGAGAAGTTGCCGTGCACCAGACATGTTGGCTTCTGGTGAAACTTAGTCCTTATCATCATCTTACAGGTGGGGGAAACTGAGGCACGGACAGGTTAACGTCCAGACAGCAAAGCCAGGAGCAGAGCAGGCATGAGATAACCGAAGTCTTAACACTTATACTTGCTCTCCTAGTGATTGCACAATCTTAAAAAAATGGGAATATAGATAATTTTAGCAATAATAAATACTGCCTCTAAAGAAGCTAAGCCACTGCCTCAGTCTGAAATGTACTCGCACCTCACATCTGGGAGGCAGATTTCCTGCCATGGGAAAGCTCTGCAGCTGGGATGAGAAGATCCCTCTAGAAACAGCTTGGACATTTATAGATGCAGCTCCCCAGCTGTTTGTTACCACGCTTTTGCAGGAGATGACACCCTGCATCTTGGTCTTGGAGAGGGTGGTATTACCATCCTCGTCTGCTCCAGTGCGAAGGCAGCCTGGTCAGCTCAGCTCATGACCTGACTAAACTAACCCAGCCCAGCCCTGTCCTCCTGCGGGCGCAGAAAACTCCAGCGGCGAGGCCATGGCAAACAGCTGGGGAACACAAAAATGTCTTTAAACACCGCAGCTACGCTCCTTGGGGTTTTCTGACCACATCCTAAATCCCTCTGCTGCTCTGTCTAGCGTTGCTCCAGAGGTCGGCACGCCCAGGCAGGAATCCGAGCGTCTCGCTCCTACGGGAGGCATCCTCGGGATGGTTCTGCCATGAAATTGCTGCAATGAAGCCCACCAGCCACCCACCACCCAAGCAAGGTGCCAGCTATCCCCAGGCCAGGGAGGTACGTCAGCCTCTTCTGCTCCATCACCTACAAATGCAGACCAGGAGCAGTTCCAGAAGTGCTGAGGCGGCAGAAAAAATCAGATTTTCCTGCTAGAGGCCATGCCCTGCCCAAGACATTGGGGTGGAGGTGTCACCAACCGGGCTTGGGACCTCACACTTGCCAGACCTTGGGAGCTGGAGGAAGGCTTTTTCATGTCGGCAACCTCCCCGTGTCCTTCAACGCCAATCTCTTCCCCAAGAGGGACTTGTCTTTCGGTTACCCTTGGGTTGACCTGGTCCCTTCACCTGGTTCCTTCAACCTGTCCCCAGGACCTGCGGTAGCTCTGAGCAGCACCGCAGAAAGTGAGGTTGGAGGGACGAGGAGAAAACCACAAGCATCCACAGAGGGAGGCTGCAGGAGGACTTGGCTTATCCTTCCATTAACCCTCAAGGTGGGGACTGTCAGATGTTCATAAAGAGAAATTACCCATTTCTGGCCGTTTCACCTTTTTTTTTCTTTTCACCGTACTGTTAATTTTGCTCAGAAATAGACAAAACTTTGTTTGCAGTGTTTGTTTTCCATCCTATACAATCTGCCCACATTTAGCCATGTTCACCCAAAGGCAGCCACCCACGCACCTTCTTGCCACCATTTTTCCTCCATCCCGTGACTTGTATTTGGGGGTGCTTTCCCCTGCAACCCCGGCTTCTGGAAAGCCAGTTTGCCATGCAGATTGGTCTGGGAGGGCTCTCACCCATCACCCGTGGCAGTCCCGTGGGCTGAACCCCGAGCGTGCGTGAAACACCGGGAGAAAAAAGGACGGCAGGGACGTGCCGGGGGCAACGCTGGGCTGCAGAGCGGGT